CCTTTTTTTCAGGGGTGATTTTTCAAAAATTTATTTTGAAAAAAGTACTAACTAGCAAATGTTTTTTATTAGCTCGCAATTTTCTTCAAAACTACTTCAATGAGGAAAAAAATAAAAATTTGGAATATCTATACATGAGGGGCTAATTGATCGGATCTAAGAAAACGCGCCACCTAGGCTCTAAGGCGCACGGGCACTCAACAAAATGCAACCAAATTTTGGGTCTGCGTAGGCGTGTACTTGAAATTTATTTAAATTACAAAAATTTCGGTATCTCTCTTAGATTAGAAAATATTCACCAAAAACTGAATATTTTTACCGGTTTTACCACTTCGCTACTGATTTGATCTTAAATTAAAATAAAATTCACAGATATGAAAATTTAAATGCAGCTGTTACTCGAATAGTTGAGCTGAAATTTCGATGGAACTGACACTTGACAAAAATTTCCAAAAATTGTACCAAGAATTTCAGCCGAAAATTTTCAACCTGATTTGATAAGTTCCTCATGAGGGCGCTTTCCCTCCAAAATATCCTCCCTCCCCTGATAGCCCATTTACGTTCCGCTAGTTGCTGATATTATCAAAAAATGATCTCGTTCATCAAAGAATTGATAAAATTCCAAATTTCCCTCAAAATCCAATAAATTACCATTCAAACTTCAAACGAAACACCCGCTCAACCCTCCCCTCTCGGAAATCAGCTGATGACGTAACAGTCGACTAGCCGACTAGCGGATTCAAGAATGATTTGCTCTTAAATTAAAATAAAATTAATAAACATGAAAATTTTAATGCAATTATTATTCCAATAGTTGAGCTGAAATTGACAATTTCCATTGATTTTCCAACAAATTGTGAATTTTCGCTAACGAACTTCCTTGAAAATTCAGTGGAACTGACACTTGACAAAAATTTCCAAAAATTGTACCAAAAATTTCAGCCGAAAATTGTCAACACCATTTGATAAGTTTCTCATGAGGACGTTTTCCCTCCAAAATATCCTCCCTTCCCTGATAACCCATTTAAGTTCCGCTAGTTGCTGATATTATCAAAAAATTATCTCGTTCATCAAAGAATTAATAAAATTTCAAATTACCCTCAAAATCCAATAAATTACCATTCAAACTTCAAACGAAACACCCGCTCAACCCTCCTCTCTCGGAAATCAGCTGATGACGTAACAGCCGACTAGCGACGTATGAAATGAAAGGAAAAAAAAACCCGCACACTACACTCGTGTCTCGTTTATTGGTTGAAGAGAGTCGAAGGCATAAGTATGGCGTAGGTTTTTTGGTGGCCTGTTTTTTTTTCTTGAATTCTTCTTTATCATCGTGTGTCGTTGGCACAATTATCGGTGGTTATCATCGGGTGAGAAGTGTTATGAGATCATAAATAAGTTTCTCAACGAAGAGAATAATTAACAATTGGGGCAAAACGAGGTAAATAAAGGGAAGGACATTTGTGGGTTATTTCGTTCGTGGAGGAGGGGATTTTCGGGATTTTTGTCTGAAGGTTTACGAGAACTTTGGGGTTGTTATTGGGGGAGAGGCTGGCATAATGAGTGTCGACGCGTATGGACCCAGCAGCCAGACCCTCACGTTCTTGGACACCGAGGAGGCTGATCTCATTGGTGCTGACACCCAGGGAAGTGAATTCGACTTCACTGATTTTACGTTGCCATCGCCAAGTCAGACACAGGCGTCACAGCACGATCATGGACAGAGTCAGCAGAGTCAACCGGTGCAGGTGGGTTGTGGGGTCACTTTTGGGGGGTCAGGGTTTTGGTGTATCGGGGGCTCGACGGGCTCCGGAGCACCACGCGGTTTACACCTAACCTCAAAGTCTTTGAGAGAATTTTTTATTATTCGTGGTGCTGAAGGGTCACGAGGGTCTTCAGGGGGTTTTATGGGGGTTCTGAGGGTTAGGAGAATGGTGGGGAGTATGTGGGGGGTTCAGTCGTGGGGAGACTTGGAATTCTGGTGGCCAGGTTGGGGTGACCTTGAAGTCCTCGGACTGAGGTTGATGGGAATTTTGGATTTTCTGCAGTGTCATGGGGAGTTTTTTATGGGGAATTTGAGAAGTAATGAAGGGAGTATTATTGATTTTTTTAGGGTGTAGGAAATGATTTCGACAAGATCTCAACAAGATTTCAACAAGAATTTTTTGGAGTTCCTCATAGAAATATTTCTGGAGCTAGTGGGTTTAGGAATAAATAGAGTAGGTGTTTTTTAAAGTTTATAAAATGAAAGAAAACTGTCAAGTCAAAACGTGACAGGTTTTTTATACGTGTATTGATACCAGAGTTTTCAAGTCTTTGAAAGGATTTGTCTTCTGAGTGATCTTGAAGTTTTGGAGTGTTCCATGTAGGGGAGAGTTCAGTGGTGGGGAGATTTAGAAATCTGGTGGTCATGTTGGGGTGACTTTGAAGTCCTCGGACTGAGGTTGATAGGAGTTTTGGATTTTCTGCAGTGTCATTGGAAGATTTGAGAAGTAATGAAGGGATTATTATTGATTTTAGGATTCTGATGTTTGGGGGGTTTGAAAGGACGATGGAAATCATTTTTTTAGGGTGTAGGAAATGATTTCAACAAGATTTCAATAAGAATTTTTTGGAGTTCCTCATAGAAATATTAAAATATTAATATTAAATCTCAATGTGATCTTTTTGAAAGACGTGACGAGGGGGTATATATTAAGTCGAGTTTACTCTGGGAATATTTTTGGAGCTAGTGCGCTGAGAAAAAATTTAATCCTGTCAAGAATTTAGAGTGAGATTTTTTGTGAATATTTCAGACATTTGTTTGTCTGAAAGAAATTTGATTGGCAGAATTGAATTTTTCTCTCAATGTGGATTCAGAGTTAAGTACCAAAGGCATTTCTTGTATTTTAAAATTAATTTTTTCAAAAAAAGATCTCAAATCACTCGTTACCAAGACAATTAAATTCACTACAAGTTTGTAAAAAATTATCTAGCGGATATCTCTGGAACTAATAGGTTGAGAAAAGAGATATCAAGTGATATTTTTTTTGTAATGGATTGAATTCTCCACAAAAAAATATCGTGATGAATTTTTGAAAATCTGTTGTCTTCAGAGAGATGTACAATGCGATTATTGCATTAATAAAAATTAATAAATCATCGGGAATACAATGAACACCGAATTTATTTCAGATCAATGGAACGAACGGAAGTTCAGCCCTCGATCTCAAGATATCCGGCGCAGCTCAAAATCTAGCTGAGCTGCAGTTTGAAGAGGAGGAGGAGGAAGCCTTCTACAATCGTGATTTGCCAGAGCATGCATGCAAGTACTGCGGCATTCACGAGGCATCGTGTGTCGTTATGTGCAACGTCTGCAGAAAATGGTTTTGCAACGGTAGGGGAAACACCTCAGGCTCGCACATCATCAACCATTTGGTGAGAGCCAAGCACAAGGAAGTCACTCTGCACAGGTCAGTGAACGCTCAGCCACTGCCCAGCCCTTCCCCAAGCATTCCCAGGAGACCTCAATCATTAATCTTTCAATATTTATGCACAGAGATGGACCTTTGGGTGAAACAGTACTGGAGTGCTACTCCTGCGCTGTCAGGAACGTCTTCGTCCTTGGATTTATCCCTGCCAAGGCTGATTCGGTCGTTGTTCTGCTATGTAGACAGCCCTGCGCTGCTCAAAGTTCCTTGAAGGACATGAATTGGTAATTTGAATGAAATAATTAACTAATTCGCATAATGAGAGGAAATAATGATTGAATTAGAATGAATTCCTTCAAAGGAATTTTATTAGTTCATTTTTGTAGAGGATTTCCTTCAACACAAAGGCTTATTGACATTTTCCTGTAAATCCACTCATGATATTTACATGATCAACAGATAATTCCAGTCAACTGGATGCAATTGCAGAAATATCTCAACGATAATCGTGTCAAAACATCAAAAAGTCTAGGAAATTTCTTGTACAACAAGAAAGATTTCTTCATGTCACTTTTTTTTCAAAGTTTATTGTGCAATTCTTTTACCATTTCAATTTCGAAGGTTTAAATTTGATTTTCCATTTTGAACCATTGGAAAATATTTAAAAAAACAGAAAAACATTTATTTTTCACGATCACA